ATTTTAATAAATAAGAGAGAATCAGATAGAATATAATTGCAATGAAATTTAACTTTTCAAATTTTATAGAAAAAGTAAAATTTATAGAAAAATACGATTAAATATCTATCTATCTATCTATCTATCTATCTATCTATCTATCTATCTATCTATCTATCTATCTATCTATCTATCTATCTATCTATCTATCTATCTATCTATCTATCTATCTATCTATCTATCTATCTATCTATCTATCTATCTATCTATCTATCTATCTATCTATCTATCTATCTATCTATCTATCTATCTATCTATCTATCTATCTATCTATCTATCTATCTATCTATCTATCTATCTATCTATCTATCTATCTATCTATCTATCTATCTATCTATCTATATTCTATCTATCTATCTATCTATCTATCTATCTATCTATCTATCTATCTATCTATCTATCTATCTATCTATCTATCTATCTATCTATCTATCTATCTATCTATCTATCTATCTATCTATCTATCTATCTATCTATCTATCTATCTATCTATCTATCTATCTATCTATCTATCTATCTATCTATCTATCTATCTATCTATCTATCTATCTATCTATCTATCTATCTATCTATCTATCTATCTATCTATCTATCTATCTATCTATCTATCTATCTATCTATCTATCTATCTATCTATCTATCTATCTATCTATCTATCTATCTATCTATCTATCTATCTATCTATCTATCTATCTATCTATCTATCTATCTATCTATCTATCTATCTATCTATCTATCTATCTATCTATCTATCTATCTATCTATCTATCTATCTATCTATCTATCTATCTATCTATCTAATCTATCTATCTATCTATCTATCTATCTATCTATCTATCTATCTATCTATCTATCTATCTATCTATCTATCTATCTATCTATCTATCTATCTATCTATCTATCTATCTATCTATCTATCTATCTATCTATCTATCTATCTATCTATCTATCTATCTATCTATCTATCTATCTATCTATCTATCTATCTATCTATCTATCTATCTATCTATCTATCTATCTATCTATCTATCTATCTATCTATCTATCTATCTATCTATTCTATCTATCTATCTATCTATCTATCTATCTATCTATCTATCTATCTATCCATCCATCATCTATCTATCTATCTATCTATCTATCTATCTATCTATCTATCTATCTATCTATCTATCTATATATCTGTCTGTCTTCTTATTTTCTTAAACCTAATTTTTATTTCTAACCAATATTTCTAACAAACACTTCCATTTTTTAAAGATATCTTCAAAAGCCAATTATTCACATCCGTTGGCAATAAATTTTGTAAAAACATAACACTTTAATACCACATATTAAACCAAATACATAAGGAGTAATAATTTTCCAACAAAGATGTCCCTTTATCAAGCAACGTAAATCACTTTAAACACACATAATTAACACTTGCAACAAAAGGCTGCAAGTACATGAACATTGGTAAACACAAAACAAAAAAGGAAAGAAAGAAGCAAAGGCGTTCTTACTAAATTTAATTTAAATTGAAAAAAATTAACATTTTAAGTGCAAGGGATTAAAGTGATTATTAACATAAAATATATCAAAATTTTTAAATTATTTTTTGTTGTTTGTCTTGTAGAATTTTCAGTTTGAAGTATGAAAATGTATCACTCATCCATCTGCTTATATAAAAGTACTTGCAAACATTTAACCAAAATAAAGATATCCTTTTGAAATCTGATAAACAACAATCAAAACAAACCTGACCTTACCAAACAAAAATTCACGTGCATTATTGGCCCAAACAAAAGAAATTTTATTAAAGTTTTTTTTTTCTCTCACACACACATTATCGAGAATAAAAGGAAAAAATTAAAAGAATGCGTTCAAATACGAATGAAAAAAAAAAATAAATAAACAAAACTAAATACTCAACCACCTTTAAGATTTGTTTATATGTAAAAAAATGGTTTTAACAAAAAAAAAAAAAAAAACAAGTGATCATGAGCCAAGAAATATTGTAGTTTACAGCGTCATAATAAAGAAAATACTATAAGAATAGAATTCTACAAGACGAACAAACAACTACAACAAGAACAACGTCGAGAAATAAACATTTGGGAACATATCCAGAAAATATTTATTGGCAAAACTCCATGATCATAAATTATGCAATCTCATCTTTGCTTGAATTGGTAGCCAAAATGGCAGCAGGCAGGCATTCGGAAGAAGAACAACTACAACAACTACTATATAACTAAGAATACGAATATGTACAATTATCACAACAAAAGAATTTCTTTATGAATGAATGAATTAATAATTCGGGAAAAAAAAGAAGATAACACAAAAATCAAAAGTCATTTCTATAGATACCGAAGGACCATTGCGCACAGTGGGATAGAAAGAAAAATTATTAAGGGAAATTAAGCTGTAATTTTTAATCGATTTAAAATGATTTTAATGAAATTTCACATGAGTAAGGAGGAATAGAGTATAATGTCAATTTCGAGCTCATGGAATTATGAATGTACATACATATATATGTTATGTATATTTTTGAAAAATTTCCTATCTAATGATATATAATACTTTTACAATTTCCCTTTTCTTTTTAACTGTGCTCCGTAAAATGTGCGTTCATCCTTTTATGAATATTTTTCTCTGAGTGTATAATTTACGAAAATTTTTATGTCATAAGCACAATTATTCCTTTTTGGCACAAATTTTTATAAACAAAAATTTATTAGAAGAAAGAGGGGTAAGGAGAGAGTTGGTTTTATCTTTATTTACTTTATATAAGTATGTTAAAGTATGTAATACATAGACATCCTTTTAGCTTAATTTCCCCTGTTTTTAAAGAAACAATTTTCTTGCTCCCCCTTAAAATAAAAGTTTTAATAACTCGGAAAAAGTGTGTTTAATTTTTTTGTTTATAACATTTTTGGGGATACCTGTGCTTTTAAATTATTCACACACTTTGTATCATTGCCAAAAAGAAAATTTAAAATGTGTGCTGCTTTAGGAATAACAAAACATATTCAATTAAAATAAATATTGCGTAAGTTTTAAATGAGTTCATTGGCTGATTTTGAAATAGTTTTTCTTGTTATTTAATAAAAATAATACATTTCGAAGAAAAATAAATGATACTATTTGGATACATTCGAAAGTAGGTTGTATTTCTTTGAACTCTACAGAATTTGATAAAGCAAATATTATTTTCGGACATATCGTATTGCCAGTATGATATAATAATCCCGTAACTTCACATGACAATTTGTAAAGGCGCCTAATAAGCGATATTTGGAGGACACGTTCATTAGACCCTATATAAACTATGACATTACCGATAGTCGATATTTCGGAAGGATGTTTGAAGAATACGGATCCGATATGTACCATTTTCAAAAAGAGTTTATGTTCCAAGGCATAAAGGGATTAAGCAGCACTGATTCCTTATTTACCTCAAAATTTATCTACCAAATATCAGGTTTTCCAAATATCGTGCCACATTTGAGACGCAATAACAGCGTGAAGAAACTTTTATATATAAAGTTTGTCTAAATTAAGACTCAAGGTTTCGACGTTTTTCAAATTGAGAATCCGAAGAAATGCACCTAGACCACTATCGGGCCTGTTGTGCGCTCAATTGACATATAAAAGTATTCTTATAAAATTCATCTCGAATAAGATTTTGTGTAAAAGTATCCAGTGAATTTTATGAAATTTGGTTCATATTTGACACTAGATCCTATACAAAAGTCCTCTTTCGGAAAATTGGTCTGCCATCAACAAATTGCTCAAATAAATCGCATTGAAATACGTCTTAAATTACTCCACAATTGCCCCAAGTCCCATAGAGGACCCTTTCAAAAGACTCTTCCATTCCTAATGGAAAATATTTGATAAGGCATGGACCATGTTTATTATTTTTGAAAACAACATGATCCATAGCCAGCATTAAATAGGACCATGTTGCGGATCATGTACTTCCATTATTTCTGCAAGGGACTAGTTTTGGAATTACTCCGATGTAATGCATTGATGGTCCTCACATAGGATTATAGTAAATTAATTCAATTAAATCACGTTAAAAACTCAGTTATTTGGCTTCGGAAAATCTGTGTAAATCGTTAGTTTATGCGTTTTTGCATGCCAAACATGAATCAGCTGATTCGTTACAGAAAAGGAGAAAGGGAGTTGAAACCATTAGTATCTAGTATTAAATATGACCGAAATCGGTCCAATCGAAAATAAGTTATTAATTACATAATCACCCACCTATGGCCAATAGAAGTGAAATTTTTTGTTTTTCTCGAAAGAAAAATTGTCATCGTGAACTTGTCGTGAACAATTAATTCACAATAGTTGATTTTATTCGCAATAGCTGTTCATTTCAAGTGAAATTTTGATTGACAATAGGGATGACTGAAGTCCGAAAGCTGAGTACACCTTCATTTGGGTACAAGGGGTCCCTTTGTAAATACATACCCGTAAGAAGATTATAATAAAGAGGGAAGAGATCAGACATAGCTGAAAGAATGGAAAGAAAAGTGTATGGATCAGAAAAAGAGAATTAAGATGTAGTTACCGAGTACTTCATATAATACCAGCGGGAATTATAAATTCATACTGATTTCGATATTAAAAAATGAAGTAATGCGTTCCAATTGACCATTTTATAGAACAGATGCATCAGAAGAGTATGTGGAACCTAGTTTTTTAAAGAGGTAGCAATTGCAAGAAAACTTCACTTCATATGTTTATTTATTAGTGGGGATTAGTATTTCTAATAATTTTTACAAAGAGCACCTGTCTTCTTTTTTACCTATCACTTTAACAAGACTTTTTCCTAGCAGGGATTAAATCCTCGACAGGGAAATTAATATTTAATATAATTTGTATGTAATTAATTTTAAGTTTTTAATCAAACAACTAAATAAATACTTTTCTAGTTATAATTTTTCTTTTCATTGCAGTTTAAACCAACCCCTACTCACAGAGGCAAAGGATATGCACACTCAAACACACATAGAAAAGGAATACATAACAACAAAAGCTAATAAATCCTGCCAATCGTCATATACATTTGTGGCTTGTTTTCATAAAATTTTATATACACAAATACATATTTGTTGGATACATAAAAGTATATGTATTTGGGCATATAGAAGAGCTTCACTTATTGGCCTGACCAACCAATAAGAGAAGAGTTGAAAATAAAAAGCTCAAACCACCACCGGAAATGCAATGCACTAAATAAACACACACACATATACAGGAGAATTACAATAACAGTCGTTTACTAATGAAGTATGAAAGAGAAAGAGAGATGTTGGAAAGAGAAGTCTTGACTAAAGGAAGTTGGATTTTTTTTTAACAAAAAATAAACAAATAATACTCATACGCCTTCGTAAACGACGGAAAAAGAAAAAGACAGTTTTTTTACTGCATTGTGTTTCTGTGTTAAAAAAAGCAGTTTTTTCATTGGTCTGAAGTACTACAAAGGATTTATTTTTAGCTACCAATGATATTCAAATTACAAGAAAATAAATCCTTAACTACTTGAGACCTAAAAGTAAATGTTTTTATAGTCTTTCAAAAGGGAAGCCAAAAATACATTTAACAAACTGTAAATACAGTTTTTGGCAAGATTTTAGCTTTTGAAGATAAAGCTTAACGTATACAAAGCAAAAAGGATTATTTTGCAAATAATCTCAAAGGCTGAAAGCATTATTTATATCATGATTTAAACATAAATTAACTAAATTTTATTTCAATATAAATTAAAAAAATGTAAATATATACATAAATTTATCTTTATATTTTATAATTTAGCCTAAAATGTAGTTTTATGGTTTAAAGTAGTTTTTAATTATTTTAAATTTAAATAACATTTTAAAACAATTGCAGTTCTAGTAGCCTTAATATCAGCTTAATTTCAACATCTTTTTAAGCTTTATTAAGGATAAAAAGGAAAATTTACATTTTTAACATCTTGCTGGTAAATTTTTCTTTTTTATAATAATATTTCTTTATATTATTAATAATAAATTTTATTATTAGATATTTATATTTAAAATAATAATATTCATTGCATCTTATTATAACAAAATTAACATTAAATTAAATTATAAACTTATTAAACATAATTCTTATAAGAATCATCACAAATCTTATAAAAATGTGTAAAAGAAGAAAAAAAATTAAATAAAATTAATAAAAACTGTTTAGCTCACTGCGGAACCAAAAAAAAGCACAATGTTTTATTTTAAGAGTTCGTTTTTAGGATGAAGATTAGCGATTAAATTAAAAACAACAAAGGCACAAAAACCTATTCATTTTAAAGGAGTCCGACCTCAGAAGTTCTCAATCACATCAAGTTTTTGAGATATCTTGTGTCCTAAACTTAAAAAAACAGTTATTCGGGGTTGTCCAAACCCAATTACGACAGTGATTGGATCATTGTCGAACTTGGTTTTAAAAACGACCAAAAAATACATTGGTTTCATGAAATCTTATGTATTCGGTTTTTTGCTCTATAATGAGTGATATTCTAGATCGAACATGAAACTGATAATAGTATATTTCTATGACAACCCCGATTCGCCATATTTAGGACGTTATAATAGATCTTTATTTACAAAATATGTTATCCTATTTCTGAACATAAAAATAAAGTTAACATCTGTTACATATTGATATTTTAACTTAACACAATCATATAGGTCCTAAAGAATACTTTTCTGAGTCGACTTAGTCGATTTTGATATTATGTTGCACCAAGGACGAAATCTTGAAAATGGTTAAAATTGGTCCATTATTTCACCTAGGTTCAATACAGTTAAGCCCCTCATCGGAGCAGTCATCCCAACTTTAACATCACACAGTTGGATACTCCAACGAAACATGACTTCGTATATACGAGGAGAACGTGTGCAGGGTCCATTAGATCAGTCCTCGTATACGGCAGCTTTGAACGATATTATTAGAGACGTCATAAATTCTGCGGTCGCAGGATATTGCATGAATGTCGTACTTGGAGGTCGCCCACGGCCCATAACAGACACGGAAAACAAGAGTAGTTCTGACACAACTAAGATAGAGATGGATCCACAGGCTTAATGCCTACTGGTCGCTTATAGACCGTGCCGTCCCCAACGAATGCCTTGCAAGTGGTCAAGGTCCTCATAACACTCACCACAAATTCAACTACTTAGCCAACCCTACTTCACTTTATTCAATGAGTCTATGGATTCATCCAGTTTAAGTAGCCCTAGACATTTATGTAGAACCCCCAACAAGATTATTTTATAGATTTAGCTGTTACAGCAACAACCATGCCAAATTTTGTAATGATCGGACATTTGAACTTATCCCCCATAAAAAGCCCCTATTATAAAGGCTAATGCCGCGATAATAATTTTAATATCTCTTGTATGGTGATGGTAGGAGATACAAAAGATGCTGAACCTTTTTGATTGATTGGACTTACAGATATAGCAATTTCATAAAGCTGTCTTCGCACAGCTAAATAATAGCCAAAAACGGGATTTTTTTTATTAAATAATAAAAAACACTAAAATAATCACAACCAATATTAAGATTGTAGACAACAATTAAAAATAAACCTTCACTCGGCAACCCTTCAAGTAGACTGTTCAGTGAATGACACTCGTCTATTGTGAATGATTTAAAATACACAACAGCTGTTGCAATAACAACAACAAAAACCATTGTTTACATTTTTTCGTTCAAAACAACAAGCAAATGAATGCTAAAATTTTTATTTTGCAAATTTTGTTTAATTTTAAAATAAATTTAACTTAAGAAAAATGTCACAACATTTTAAAATGTCTCACGAACTTAAAAAGAAACATCTGCCCATAAATTTGGCACGTAAAGCCCAACGAGAAAGACGTATACGCAATGGTGGCTTTGGTAGAAATCGCAAAAGGAATCGAATGAAACGTTTGGGTAAAAAGATAAAACCAAATTTTGAACTTAGCGAACTAGAGACATTGGTGAGTGCTACGGAAAATCATTTAAAGGAGATACTGGCAAATGATGAACAATTGTCGGATATTCCGTATGATGTTACGCCAGAGGAGTTGCAAGGAGAGGTAATTTTTTCTTTCTGTCGTGAGTTGAAGATGAAAATTATATTTCTCTGTAAGTGTCAACATTTTTCCATGACAGCGTTTTTCACAATATCGAAAGAAAAACTGATCGAGCAAAAGCAAGGAAAAACTCCTAATAGATGTTATTTGAGTATTATAATAAGAACAATAATGTATGGATAACTTTATTTGGAGCATTATTTGCGTGGCAGCTAGAAGTTTAATTAAGTTTTAAAAGGTTAAGCGCCCTAAGGCATACATTTACTCGAAGACTCAAGTTTCCCATGGAGATTTACTTTAGACAAATAATAAGATATGGGAGTGGGTTTGAAGAGGAATTCAACGAAGTCATTTAAATAGCAATTGTACTTGGATAAATCACGACAGCTACATGGAATCTTTGAGTATCTATTTTGCCAGCTATTAGCATGGTGTTCCCAATGAAGTAGTGACAATATGTCGTTATACAGAGACTCATAGTTTCCATGTTGAATATTTATGTCCTAGGTAATATGTCAGTGAATTTATTAGCCATTTTATATATAAATTGTATCCTTATTATCCCCAGAGATATAGAGATATGTAGATCATCTGTTCAGAGAATAAAAGCTCAAGATCTTAGAAACGGGTACCAATTTGATCAACATATATCAAAGTCCTAGGAAATACCTATTTATGATAGGAGAAATCATTAGAGACAAAGTGTTCGAGGATGTGAAATAGTAAGATACAATAGAGTAAGTTTTGAGACGCTATCGTAGAATAAACTTTCATAATCTTAAAAAACCTAAGAATTCCAATAGCCATTTTATATATAAATTGTATCCTTATTATCCCCAGAGATATAGAGATATGTAGATCATCTGTTCAGAGAATAAAAGCTCAAGATCTTAGAAACGGGTACCAATTTGATCAACATATATCAAAGTCCTAGGAAATACCTATTTATGATAGGAGAAATCATTAGAGACAAAGTGTTCGAGGATGTGAAATAGTAAGATACAATAGAGTAAGTTTTGAGACGCTATCGTAGAATAAACTTTCATAATCTTAAAAAACCTAAGAATTCCAAATTTTGTAAACGAAATGATAAATTTATCATTAACTTACTGAAATCAGTTAAAATTATTATTAAAATTTCTTAACTACAAACATATTTCAATTAGGGAATTTCTAAATTTGCTAATTGAATATTATATTAGATAAAACAAACTATATGTGGTTTGATTATAAAATATTTTTTAATCATAAATAAGCTCAACAATGCATAATGCGTAAAATTCAAATTTGATTGAAAAATTTCCATTCTTTAACACCATAACATTTGCGTCATTAGCATGGTACCAGCATATATATACAAGTAATAAAATATACTTTATTTACAAAGTAACAGTTTGACAAATAAAAACTTTTTCTATCCAAACAAAAGTCTCTCTTGTTACTTAAAAGAGAAAATATTTGAAAAATGCTTAACAATTTATAAATAAAACAAATATACAATATTCTTTATAGCTGGCTTTGGCTCAAGGTGGTGGCACCACTATCTATATAGAACGTGATGGCCTCTCTACATTAACAGTGGTGGTGAGTATTAATTTTAAATATTAAATTGTAGAATCTAATGTTTATTTAATGTTTTCTAATAGACTTTTGATTGATTACTTATTTCATTTTATGTATAGCTCTCTGTAGGTTTTGTGTTATTGTAAAACTTTTAAATATAAATACTTTAACAGCAAAATTTTATATTTAAATAATGATGAGTAAACATTTTGTTTGTTAAATGCAAATATTAAAGCAAAAGGAAAATAAACTAAAATAAACTTTATTTTAAGTAAACAACTAATCGAATGTCAGTTCAGCTGTCAAGTTCAATATTGTAAATTAATACAATACCTTGAAGTAATTATAATGAAAATAAATTAGCACTTGTTTCTAAATGAAAACTGGAAAATTTCTTTGGCGAAAAAAAAAATAATTCTAAACTTTATTATTTTCGCTTCACCGTTATTGTTAGGTGACGTAGTATGTAGGTATAACCGTTAACAGAAATTTTTTGAATTTATTATTTATAAAAATATATATTTGCAAATTGTTTAAGAAAACATCATTATATCCCAAACAATAATAAATTTTGGTAAATCATGTCAGTGGGTTAATATTTAATAAATGCTAATAACTACATAAAAAAAATTCAGTTAAAGTATTCTTAAAGAAAATAAAAGTTTTTGTCACATTTTTCATTGATCATTATTTAATTTAATTAGATCATTAAGTATACACACTTTTACTGTAAATTTTTATAATTAGACATTTGCCTTTGTTAATTGTTGCTGTTTTTTTTTCTTATAATTGTCATTTAATCTTTTTCTAGGGGCACATTATTTTTGAGAAATTTAATACATGTTTTTGAGTATTAAGTACCTAAGCTATTTAATGTGGTTGAAATTAAAGATTTAAATATACAATAAAATAATATTTATGTGACGTCTAGACTTTCAGTGTTCTAAATTTATATTTTTATCAGCAAAAAGAAATTTGTATAAGAAAACACAGAAACAAAGCTTTAAAAAATTCCATACTTATATTCGAACATATCCTAAACAGCTTATAAGCTGCAAATAAAGAAAGCTGAACATTTTATGTTGAAGAAAATTTTTACCTTTTTTAAATAAATTTTCGAACATTATTTCGAATATCCCTTAAATTAGACTAAAATTATATTTTTAACAATTCCTAAGATTAAGAAAATATTTTAACAGTTTTAACATGTTTTCGAACATAAGTTCGAAATTTCGAAAATTTTCTAAATACTGAAAAATGTAAGAAATCAGCTTCAAATGAAACTAACATTTTATTTTTAAGAAATCCAATAAATAAAAATACATTTTTATAGCTTTAAAATGTTTTCGAACATAAGTTCAAAATTTCGAAAATTTTCTAAGAATCGAAAAATATACGAAATTGGTTTTAAATGAAACTAAAATTAATTTTTTAAGAGTGTTAATCATTTAAAGTTAATTTTAACTGTTCAAGAATTTTTCGAACATAAGTTCGAATTTTTGAATATTTTCTACAAATTGAAAAAAATTAAGAAATTTGCATCAAATGAAATTAAAATTATATTTTTAAGATTTAAAGACAATTTTACAGTTTTGAAATTATTTTTTCGAAAATTATCTAAATGGAAACATGTTAGAAATTGTCAGTTTTAACATTTTTTCGAATTTTCAAACATTTTCTTAATGTTGGGAAATATAAGAAATTTGCCTTAAATGAAATTGAAATTATATTTTTAAGAGTCCCTATGATTTAAAGATAATTTTACAGTTTTAATAATTTTTCGAACATAAGTTCGAATTTTCGAAAATTTTTCTAAAAATAAAAAAATATAAGAAAATTCTTCTAAATGAAACTAAAATTCAATTTCTTAGAATTCCAATTTAAAAAAAAAAATACAGCTTTAAAATTTTTTCGAACATAAGTTCGAATTAACGATATAATAAACGAAACGATATAATACATAATAAAAATTTAATTTTTAGGAATCCATATGACATATGATAATTTTAACGTTTGAAAATTTGTTGAAAATTATTTAAATGAAAAATGTCAGAAATTGTCAGTTTTAAAAATTTTTTGGAATTTTCAAAAATTTTCAAAAAATAGGAAATAGTCCGAAATTGGTTTCAAATAAAACTTAAAATATATTTTCAAGAATCCTTGTGCTTTAAAGATAATTTTAATAATTTTTCGAACATAAGTTCGAATTTTTGAAAACTTTCTAAAAGTCGTAAAATGTATGTAAATCGCTCTCAAATGAAACTAAAATGTTATTTTTAAGAATTCTAAATATTTAAAGGAAATTATTACAGCTTTAAAATGTTTTCGAACATAAGTTCGAATTTTCGAAAATTTTCTAAAAATTGGAAAAATTTGAAAAATTTTCCTCAAGTGAAACAAAAATTATATTTTAAAGGAACCCTTATGATTTAAAGATAATCTTACAGTTTTAAAATGTTTTCGAATATAAGTTGGAATTTTGGAAAATTTTCGAAGAATTGGAAAATATAAAAAATTTTGTACCAAATAAATCTAAATTTATATCGTTTAGATAATTTTACAGTTTCAAAATTTTTTTCGAACATAAGTTTGAATTTTCGAAAATTTCGATTTTATACTCTCGGGACCAATTTTTGTTATAAAGATTTTTCCCCCAAGAAACTAATTTCCAAAATAGATTTTTTTCTTATTATTTGATAAAAATCAGATTATAATAAAAATTTAATTTTTTACTTAAAATTCAACATTGCACTTAAAATCAGTTTTTATTATCAAAAATTCGGAGTTTTGTTTAAAAAAATGCAATTTCTCTAAATTTCATAAAAATCTAATTTTTTATAAAAAATTTGGTTTTTCAGGAAAAAGCCGAATTATTGGCAAAAAATTGATTTTCACTGAAAATTCAGCATTTCACTTAAAAACTGTTTATTTAAGAAAAAAATATTCGAATTCGTTATTAAAAACAAATTTTCATTAAAAACTTTTAACAACTTTTACCAGCATGAATGAGACATCAGCATGAATCGTCGCGTAGCTAAGGCGACCCGAGTCGTACTCTGAAAGAACTATCGGTCACAGTTGAACTGTTACAACAAGAACAAACGAATTCAACAGCCGCTTCAAATTGTATGTCACAATTATCTTATGTTGATAAAAATGTGTCAATGATAATTTAGTAACCAAAGTTATATTTCAAAACGATTTCTAATTAATCTGTAATTTGTGTAGCTTTCTACCGGCTATAACGCAACTAACTGTAGCCTTCTTAAATAGCTGATAAACGCCTATTTCTAATTAAATTAAATAATAATCTCAAAGTTTATCAAACTCCTAGATATAATAAAAAAATTCCCCAATATTAATTTCATACCACTGTACTTAAAACAAGAATATAACCAATTCTATTCTCTTCTCATATATGTATGTAGCTCCCACAAGAAAACCCCACAATTGCTCAATTGAAAAGAGCCATAGAGGCACAAGCACGTGTACAACAGAAACGAGAGTTAAGAGAACGTTATGAAGAGCGTATACGACGTAGAGGTCTTCTTATGAACGAAACAACCGAAACGATCGTTGAAGAGCGTAAACATAAACAAGTTAATAAATCAACAAAAAGTAACCTAGGGAAGCCGCAATACGCAACCGGGGAGTTAGTTTGTTCGGCGACACACAACGGACACCAACATCGACCAAATGTTAGTTGGCGTTTCCTATGGCGTGCTTATATTTTATTTAATATCGCAACGCAAACGTTTGTTGAAGATAAAAACGGGCGCAAGTTATTGAAAGAATGCGGCATAGAAAATGCACAAACACTCAAGTTTTATAAACGGGACAAATATTTCGGAAAGAAACGTCAGTGATTGAATAAGTTTTAATATTTAATTAAATAAATAAAATAATTTATTATAAATTAAACAAAAAACCAATGTTTTTTAAAGATTCACTAAAATCTAAGAAATTTATTAATAATAATCATCATTCCATGTGCCAATTAATTATAATTTTATTAAAAACCAAAACTAAAAAAAGAAAAGAACCTCTACAACTATTTAAACGAAAAATCAATTATAACCAACAACGAGATTTAAACGACATTCCGTTCACTTTTAAGCCCAGATGATATACGACGGATAATGACGATTTTCAATAAACAGTCATATTTACCTTCAGCCACTACAATCAATTTTAAGTCTAGCACAGCAGCTTATAATAAACTTTTAGCAACTGCTTCGTTTTATACCGCTACCAACGGCGACCGCCTCACCTCCTCAACATTGTCGTCATCTCTAACGTCGGCAGCATCTGCGTCTTCGCCATCAACATCAACATCGTCGCCAACAAGAAAAATGTTCTTTATTTGTCAATCATTGTTAATTTCTTTGGTTGTTTTATTCTTTTTGTGTGCTTTACAAATTGACCTCATTCGTGGAGCATTCGAAGATGGCAACAACAACAATGTTAAGATCACTAAACACAGTTTGGAATTAACACAAACCCTCAACATGCAGAGACAGGAGTATTTGCAAAAACAATGCAATACTCTGGGCTATAGTATGCTGGACATAAACGATCTAACCGATGAACAAATGGATCATATGATTGTTGATCAAGAGCATAAACTGCTATATTGTTATGTGCCAAAGGTAAGTGCCAAATGACGCGTTTAATAAAGTGTTAAGACTTTCCGTTCGTTCGTTTGTTGTGTGAGTGAGTGTGTGTTTCTGTGAAAACTTTTAGAGCATTCTTAGTATAAATTAAATAAAAGCAAAAGTTTATTGAACTCAGTATTGAGTTTGTATGATTTGTATTTTTTTTTCTATTTTTCGGCCCGTCTGTCTGTTATTCACTTTTAGTTTTAGTTGAAAGAATTTATTTATTTTTATTTTTTTTGCTGGCTTTTGTTATTTAACTTTCTTACTTATTATATTGCAAAATCTCGTTTTTTTTATTTGTGGTCATTTTTTAGTATCGTATTTTTGGAATTTTTTCTTGATTTTGCTATCGTCAATACATATTTATGACACATGTTGTGGCGTTGCGGTTTTTTTTGTTAAAAATAAATAAAATAAAGTATTGTTTCAAACATCCATCTTATTTAAAATATTGTGCCAAATTTGAACAAGCAAATCATGTTTATTTTACGTTTTAATTTCGCATAGTTTATTGCAAAATTTGCCTCAAACAATAAACAAAGTGTATTAAATAACGAAATTTATGTTTATGTTTGAAATTGTTTAAAAAATATGTTTTAACATATTTGTTATTCAATCGGAGGAAATTGTTCATATTAGTAGAGGCAAAAGTATTTTTAAATAATTTTCTACAAATTTGAATGGAAAATTGGATGTATCATTGAGTACTTAACTATAGGAAATCAGCAAGATCTCATAGTCCAAACTGTACTCTATAGTCCCGACTGTACTCTATAGTCCCGGCTATAGTGTGTAGTCGATGTAGTCGATTCTACTGTCCAGATTATAATCCATTTTAAAGTCCAGACTATAGTCCATAATAAAATCCAGACAATATTCTAGTCATTAGTTCCGCTTATAAACTATTCTATAGTATAGACTATAGATTATTCTAAAGTCCAGACTATAGATTTTTTTATAGTCCAGACTATAGTCTACTCTATAGTCCAGATTATAGATTATTCTATAGTCTACACTATAGTCCACACTATAGACTATTATATAGTCCAATCTATAAACTATTCTATAGTCCAGACTATAGACTATTCTATAATCCAGACTATAAACTATTCTATAATCCATACTATAGACCATTCTATAGTCCACACTAAGACTATTCTACAGTCCACACTATAGAATATTCTATAGTCTACACTATTAGACTATTCTATAGTCCACACTATAGGCAATAGTCTATTAGACTATATAGACTATTCTATAGACTATGCTATAGACTATTCTATAGGTCAAACTATAAACTATTATATAATCCAGGCTATAGACTATTCTATTGTCTAGACTATAAATTATTCTATAGTCCAGACTATAGACTATTCTATAGTCCAGACTATAGACTATTCTACAGTCCACACTAAAGACTATTCTATAGTCTACACTATAGACTATTCTATAGTTCAAACTACGGACTATTCTATAGTCCAGACTATGAACTATTCTAGACTAGACTATATATAGTCCAGACTATAGACTATTATATAGTCCAGACTATAGACTATTATATAGTCCAGACTATAGACTATTCTATAATCCAGACTAAAGACTATTCTACAGTCCACCCTATAGACTATTCTATAGTCCACACTATAGATTATTCTATAGTTCAGACTATAGACTAACCTATAGTCCAGACAATAGACTATTCTATAGTCCAGACTATAGACTATCCCATAGTCCAGACTATAGACTATTCCATAATCCAGACTATAAACTATAATATAGTCCAGACTAAAGACTATTCTATAGTCCAGGCTATAGACTAACCTATAGTCGAGACTATAGACTAACCTATAGTCCAGACTATAGACTAATCTATAGTCCGGCCTATATACTATTGTTCAGACTATTCTATTATTCACACTATAGCCTATTCCATAGTACGAATATGGTTTGTGACTTTATTCTATTCTGAGTTGATACTGTAGTCTATTCTATGGTCTTGAATATTCAGTAGAGACTATGGTCAAGAATCAATTTTAAAGTGGTCTATTCTATAGTCAAGACTATAGACTATTCTATAGTCTAGACTATAGACTATTCTATAGTCTAGACTATAGGCTATTCTATAGTCTAGACTATAAGCTATTCTATAGTACAGACTATAGACTATTCTATAGTAAAGACTATAGACTATCCCATAGTCCAGACTATAGACTATTCCATAATCCAGACTATAGACTATAATATAGTCCAGACTATACTATAGTCCACACTATAGACTATTCTATAGTCCAGACTATAGACTAACCTATATTCGAGACTATAGACTAACCTATAGTCGAGACTATAGACTAACCTATAGTCCAGACTATAGACTAATCTATAGTCCACTATTCTATTATTCGCACTATAGACTATTCCATAGTACGAATATGGTTCGTGACTCTAGTCTATTCTGAGTCGATACTGTAATCTATTCTATAGTCTGGAATATACTCTACGTTTCAGTAGAGACTATGGTCAAGATTCAATTTTAAAGTATAATGATGTCTTAGTGATTTTTTCAAGCAATCTGCGAAATCGGAATCACTAGGTCACAAAAGTAATTAAAATACATATCTCCCCTTGGGTCTTAAACACATCATAGGGTTCACTTGTATTCACATTACTCACTCATCTTTAAAAAAGTTTAAATTTTTTTGTCAATCAATCAACAAACAAAAAAATATTGATTAGCAGTTTAAGGAAGCAAAGGTTATTTGTTAAACACGCCAACTTCTAAGATATTTTTTTGTTTAATATTTGAAAAAATAAAATACACTTGAAAGAAATTGTTACGTATCAATGCGTATCTAAAAACCATATCAATCAAAAGATAAACACTAAAATTAAACAAAAAGTAAAATGTTTATTTCCAAAAAAAAAAAAAATTTTTTTTGCAAATGCCTAAAAAAATAAAATCATTTAAAACACATTTAACAAATTCGAATTAATCATATAATTGAATATTTCCAATTATAAAAGGTGTGAAAAGTTTTAAGTATAATTGGCCCTCAAATATTCCGCAAAAGGTTGTCTATCTCGGCTAAATAAACAACATTTAGTTTAATTTAAAGTATTTATATGTTAAACATAAATAAAAAATTGTGTACTTTATACCACAAATACAATTGTTTAGTACTTAAATATTTAAGTAGAATAGTTTGCCTTAAAATAACAAACGGTATTGATTGATCTTGAAGAAGTAGTTGTTCTTGTTATTGTTTTTAGTATTTATAATCTATTTAATTTTCAAGACACAATTGACTCATAATTTTAAATAAAAGATTATTTGGTAGTTTCTTAATTAGAAACCGTTTTATGTTTTGATAAATATTTTGATATTAAATAAAGTTTTTCCATTCCATTTGAAAACAAAAAATAAATTTATTTAATCTTATCACAAATTAAAACATTTTTTTAATAAAACCGCTGGTGAAAATTAATTGATAATAGAAGTAGAATTTATTACTAACTATACTGCCTGGTGCCAGGCATGAGTAGATGATCCTCTCTTTCAAATGCTATTTAATAGGGATTTATAGCATTTGTGTAAATTCCATTTGTTGTCTATGTTATCATTTCAAGTGATAATGTTAGATCATTTGATTTATTTTGTTATTGCTTTAAAATGTCTAATCTGGATTTTTTTATTGCGATTTTTCCCACTTCTAGTTAATGTAATTAAATAAAATATAAATCAAGAGTAAATTTGAGAATTTAATTTTATTCGCTTGCTTGACATTTGCGTAATTTAATCTGGCTTATTAAGAGATAATAGTTTTTTTTGATAATAGGCTTAATTTAATTGCGTATTATTAAGGGTTTTTTACGTATTCGGTTTTTTTGTTTTCTAATTAAATAACTCGATATTATCTTAAATAAATTCGATATAAAGTTTTTGGACTATATAATTAAATAGTTTAAACTAGAATATACTATAGTCTGGATTATTGACTAGTGCGGATTATAGAACAGACATATGAAAGTCTGCACTACATAGTAAAGTGCAGTCTGGACTATACATCAAACTGGACTATATAAAAGTATATAGTCTGAACTACAGAATAGTCTATAGTCTGGACTAAAGAATAGTTTATAGTTTGGACTAAAGAATAGTTTATAGTTTGGACTATAGAATAGTCTATAGTCTGGCCTATAGAATAGTCTATATTCTGGACTATAGAATAGTCTATAGTCTGGACTGTAGATTAGTCTATAGCCGGGACTATAGATTAGTCTATAGTCTGGACTATAGATTAGTCTATAGTCTGGACTATAGATTAGTCTATAGTCTGGACTATAGATTAGTCTATAGTCTGGGCTATAGATTAGTCTATAGTCTGGACTATAGATTAGTCTATAGTCTGGAAGATTAGTCTATAGCCTAGACTATAGATTAGTCTGGACTATAGATTAGTCTATAGTCTGGACTATAGATTAGTCTATAGTCTGGACTGTAGATTAGTCTATAGTCTGGACTATAGATTAGTCTATAGTCTGGACTATAGATTAGTCTATAGTCTGGACTATAGATTAGTCTATAGTCTGGACTATAGATTAGTCTATAGTCTGGACTGTAGATTATTCTATAGTCTGGACTGTAGATTAATCTATAGTTTGGACTATAGATTAGTCTATAGTCTGGACTATAGATTAGTCTATAGTCTGGACTATAGATTAGTCTATAGTCTGGACTATAGATTAGTCTATAGTCTGGACTATAGATTAGTCTATAGTCTGGACTATAGATTAGTCTATAGTCTGGACTATAGATTAGTCTATAGTCTGGACTATAGATTAGTCTATAGTCTGGACTATAGATTAGTTTATAGTCTGGATTATAGATTAGTCTATAGTCTGGACTATAGATTAGTCTATAGTCTGGACTATAGATTAGTCTATAATCTGGGCTATAGATTAGTCTATAGTCTGGACTATAGATTAGTCTATAGTCTGGACTATCGATTAGTCTATAGTCTGGACTATCGATTAGTCTATAGTCTGGACTATCGATTAGTCTATAGTCTGGACTATAGATTGGTCTATAGTCTGGACTGTAGATTAGTCTGTAGTCTGGACTATAGATTAGTCTATAGTCTGGACTATAGATTAGTCTATAGACTGGACTATAGATTAGTCTATAGTCTGGATTATCGATTAGTCTATAGTCTGGACTATAGATTAGTCTATAGTCTGGACTATAGATTAGTCTATAATCTGTGCTATTGTTTACTCTGTAGTCCGGACTATAGATTAGTCTATAATCTGGACTATATATTAGTCTATAGTCTGGACTATAGATTAGTCTATAATCTGTACTATAGATTAGTCTATAGTCTGGACTTTTTGCAAAATATTTTAAACAAACATTCGTAAAGTTTTTACTACTTGACATGGCAAGTATATGAAAAATATTGGAAGATACTAAACCACAGTTTACTTATATTACAACTACAAACATATATAGTTATATGTATAGTTGTAATTATCTGCAATAATTAAATTGTTTTTCTATTTTACAAAATCTTAGCAACTTGTTTATTGTTTTTGCATTGCAAACAATTTGCAATAAGTGCTAATTTTTTTAGCATTTAATTGTTTTGTATTTCTACTGAGATCTATAAGGGATCAGAAAGTTCATTGAAATTTCAAGTTGTTATCGGAGGAGAATTATTGAAACTATTTATATACTTATACAGAGAATTTTTTAAATGCAGCTGTTATTATGAAATGTTGGAAAAAAATTTAAATCTTGTAGTATTTGTTTGTTTTCTAGAGCAACACAATGATATTTTATTATTTGATTTTAATTGCAGTAAATTAATAAATTAAAATAAATTTAGTTGAGAGTTTTTTCTTGTTAAATTTTGTTGATGAATTACGCATTTGATTAATAAAATTGCATAGTTTTGCAATAAACGGTAAAAAAATCATTTATTTAAAGGGTTTAAAATTAAATGCAGAAATTTTCACTCTTTTGTACCAGATATCCTTCTGGTGCTTTTAGATATTAAGAGATAAAGCCTTTCAACTCTCGACTCTCAACATTTTATATTTTAATTAAAAGAAAAATCCTAAAAATTATTTTAATTTATATTAAAGTAATTTTTTTAGTTAAACACTTTACGAGGAATTATTATTTTAATTAAAGTCTCCACTAATATAAACTAAACGTAAAATAGTCATAGTCATTTAAATAATAAAACAAACAGGTTATAAAAAACTCGTACGATATTATTACAAAATTTGTTTATGATGAACTTTAAACACAATAACAACAAAAATAACAGCAAAATGAAATTACTTAAGCGAATGAATAATATAACTACAAAAAAAGTAATTAAATCTAGCAATTTAAAAAGCAGAGATCTTGACCATTAAACATTTGTTGTCTTCACTATACAGCGATTTCAAAAGCCAACAAATCAACAATATTAAGTTACATTTACTAAAAATATGAAAATTTTAACTAAAAATACTCAATTCTTTTGACAATCTATAATGTCTGACTATAAATTCTCTTTTGTAATTCTACACAATAAAAACCATAATTGCCATACAATATAATAAAATATGTTTTGAATGCAAAATCCCCATTATTTAGCAAGGTGAAATCTTTATGTTCTTTTTCTTTTGAATATGTTCATACACATTACACGGAACAAGTGACAAAAGAAAACAAGTTCAAAAAATCTAAATAAAGTGAATGAATAGAATGCAATGATATATCTTGATCACTTAAAGTGAATTGTATCACAATTATTATTATGCCGGGGTGTTTGTAACAATAAAAGTCTGTGTGTCAACAATAGACGACGGATATGATTAAGTCTATGACAATTTGTTAGTTATTTTTTTTTAGTTTAAATCTTTTAGCATGATTTCTGTGCTTCCAAAGAAATGTTTACATTATGACACACGTGTTTAAAAAATCAAAATAACTATAATATTTAGTTAGAAGAAGACTAACTAATATTGAATCATTACTTTTCATTGAAATGTTTCATGAAATTTATTTAACAAATTTGTAGTTTCTTATCAAATTGTCATAGTTTTTCTTTGGCAGATATTAACGCAAAACAAAAAAAAAAAAAAACATTTGTTATGAGTTTTTGCACGTAATTTGACAAATTTTACGATATGGTTATAAAAATGATTGTAATTAATCATAGATTTTTTGGGGAATTTTTTTCTAGAATAATGATTATGTTGCAAAAAGTATGCAAAACATTTCATATCATCAAAAGGTAGTAAATAGATATTTAACAAAAGAAAAACCATCAATGCCGAACAATTTATTTAATGGGGGATCAGTTGCTTTAAGATGTCTAAATTCGATGATTTTTTTTAATAACCAAAACTTGCAATTGTTTGTTTATGAAAAAAATTCATTAAACATTTTTACACGGTTCATATATTTTTTACTTAAACAAATATGAACTTGACCAATCTGTATTTGTTAAAAATTATATACGTTTGTTTACTTTTTGCTAAAATGTTTACATTTAGTAAAAAATATACACAATTTTAAATAGTTTTTAAATGGAAAACCATGATTCAACGACAAAGATTCAATTTAATTGCTAATATTTAAAAGGTATTTTTTATCGAAAATCTAGATTTCGTGAGAAATCAGTTCTTTTGTATAAATTGATAAATAAATGTTTGGATTTTTAGTGATTCTATTTTTCCTATAAACAATGTACATTTTACCAGATCTTGATAACAGACAGGTACAGAAGGAAACTCAACAACGCTAAAATATGTGCCTAATTATTGAGCACTATGTAGGGAAGAACCTGCTTAGGCTCTATAAGTCTTCGTTTGTCAGACATTCTCATGATAATCACACGAAACATTGGTACGAAGCAGGTCTCTTTGCTATTTTAGATCATAAAAAATTACATTACCCATTGGTTTGGATCCGACAAACCGTTCGAGGAGTGTTTAGTATTTATCTAGCTATATAGAAAGTGGCGAAACTGATACGTTATCCTCATGCGAGGTGAAGCAACCAATTATAGGATGATCTCCAAGACAATATCAACCAGTCCTAGAACAGTATTTTTTTCAAATTTTTTCCAGATACATATCTCTAAAATTTGATAAGATGATAAAATTTTCATTCGGATTCTGTGTAGTTTAATGCTTTAGGAAAGTAATCTAGTCCCTGGATTTCGAACTAATTTTATTTAGACAAAATGATTTCAAACAGATTAACATAGAGTTTATTCCGAATTAGATTATAAACATCAAATTGCTCTAGGTCAAGTTTCAAAACATTTGAATGCCAACCATCAAATAAACCTCATTCAGAATACACTGTATTTTTCAGCATATTAAAATTAATATTCTTAAGAAATGTTTATATAATTCCCAAAAATTCTCCTAATGATTTACGATTGTTTATATTAACGCTTGCATAAATACACATAAAAATCCCTCCATGATATTTTAGTTAAGCTAAACAAAAGAAAACTTTTAATGTAAATAAATAAATAATAACTCAAATAAATTGGGTCATAAAAATATTCCAACAATCACTGTTATTTTCTTTTGAAGCACACTTAAGAAACTGGAAACTGCATAAACATACACATAAAAAAACAAACTAATGATAATAGTTGTATTAATATAACCATGATGCATATCATATAATTGCAATGAATAATTTCCTGGTGAAAACAAACTTATTAATTTCTCTTTTTTTTCATTTGAAAACTAGGTAGCCTGTACAAATTGGAAACGTGTTTTGATGATACTTAATGGCAGCTGGAGAAATGGCACCGATCCTTTGCAAATACCTGGCTCTTTGGCTCACTCAACGGGCATGTTTGATAAATTTAGTTCATTAAATGAAACGGAAAAACAAGAAGTTCTTTCGGATTATACCAGATTTGTATTTGTAAGACATCCTTTTGAAAGATTATTATCGGCTTATCGCAATAAATTGGAGGGTGATACCGCCAGTGCTCGTTATTTCCAGAGAAGAGTAGGAAAACAAATTGTTAAAGCATTTCGTGTAGATGCTAGCAATCATTCTTTGGAATTTGGAAATGATGTATCATTTGCAGAATTTGTACAATATCTGCTAACGCCAGAAGTTAGTTTAAGTAATCAATCATCATACAATGAACATTGGGAACCCATTTCGAAACTATGTAATCCTTGTGTCATGAAATATAATGTAATAGGTAAGTTACACTTTAAATACATACAAGATTTTGTGAATATCTATTTATTTCTTTTTTTCTTTTTAGGCAAATATGAAACCTTATTGGATGATTCTGCATTGGCTCTCTACTTAACCGGTGCCGAGAATATGACATTCCCCACCGGCCATAAACCCTCGAATACTCGTGCTCATTTACGAGAATATTTTGATCCTCTACCCATAAGTGCCATTCGTCATTTGTACGAAGTTTACGCCGATGATTTTAAATTATTCGATTATGGTCTAGATGATGTTTTAGGTTTCGAATTTGGTTAATGAAAGCTCTAACTGTTAATCATAGTGTTTAATTGAAATTTAATGAAATTATTTTATATTTAAGGTTTATTTTCTTTCAAGTACATTCAAGTTTATTGCTAATGATAAGTTTTTAAATTATTTATACATGACACTTTTTCCTAATTTCATTTCTTATTGTTTTAGTAAGTTTGTGATGTATTGTTAGTGCTTTATTTTAAAATTAATTGTAAGTGTTTATTTTCTTAATTGTAATAATTTGTAAAATTTAATGTATATTTTGTTAATTTAAGTATAGGGTAAAGCAATAAAAAAAGTTTTGTATCATGATTTAAATTTTGATGGAAATATTTTTGACAATTAGGCGATCAAAATTAGCTGATGGAATTAATATTGTTCTTTTAATACATAGGTATTATCAATTTGGCTATTTTCAATAGTAGATATTTACGGACATAGAATCTATCTATACCACTGGTATACAGAACCAATATTTTGATGCGTTACTGGCGGAATAACGAACGAAATTTCATTATTAAGGCTTTCATTGATTAAAAAAGTTTTCTTATAAATATCCATGATACCTACAACCAGTAAAAGGTAATTGTTATATTATGATACATATCTATGTTTTTCAGTTCGACTTTAGTTCGAGTTTAGTTCTACTTTAGTTTTAGTTTAGCTCTAGTTCAGTTCTAATTCAATTCTACTAGTTAAAGATCAGTTCTTGTTCATTTTAATTTCAGTTCCAGTACAGTTCTAGTTCAGTACTAGTTCTAGATCACTTCTAGTTCTGTTAAGATTCATAAACATATGAAGATTGTAGGATTCTCTTAGAAGGAACGCGGATAACGTTGATATAAGTCCACTTTAGGGACCTTATTTATAACAATTTATTAAAGTAGAACTTTATGTACTCACCCCTTATATATATAATTAGTAATTTGTCCACTTTCACTCACTAAATTTTTCACTTAATCTTTTTAATATATTCTATTACACAAAATAAAACTTTTATTTACAATAATTCACAATAATAAATTTAGCGGTACTTTAAGGAATGTCCATGTCAACGTTATAAGTGTTGACAACATTATTCGCTAATTAAAACGCGGAAACAAGAATATATTCAGGACGAAGTTTAATTAATGAAAGCAAAAATACAAATTGTAGTAAATAATAATAAATAACACATGAGCGAAATCAAGAGTAAAATCAATTCAATTTTGACAAAAATAACACATGAGCGAAATCAAGAGTAAAATCAATACAATTTTGACAAAAAATTAAAATATTTACTAAATATAAAATTTTAATTGCATTTTATGTACAATTTATTTTTTATTAAAAAAGCTTTTTACTGAAAATGCATCAGTATCAAACTTCATAATAAAAATATTACTAACTAAAAATTAATTGAAAAATCAATTCTTCACTAAAATTTTAATTTGATGACTTTATGGTTATTGATTATTTGAAAATTAATTCTAGTATAAATTCCCTATATGTTTCCAAATTAAATCTGCTTTTAAAGAACTATCAGTTCTGCAAATTCCCTCTAATGCAAATTCCCTAATGACTAAATTTTGTTTGCATTTACAAATTAAACAATTTTTGTATAATTTAAAATTACTCAGTTTATTTAATAACTGCATTAAACAATTTTTAACTTATTTAATTTTAAAAAGAAATAATAATAATAAATTTCAATAAAATCTCTTGGGAATTTGTTAAATGAATTAATATAGGTAAAATGATTTTAAAGAATGGAGATGCATTTGTGAAATTTTATCGGAATTAAGTATTCGACTATATATTCTGTTTATTAAAAAGCGAACTTCTATACAAAACTTCTTTACCAAACATCAGATTTGTCTTAAAAATCTCGAACTTGATTAAATAATTTAGATATTTATGAATTTTACTCAAATTATTTTTTATCGTTTCTTGACAAAAATTTAATTTTTCACTTTTTAAAAAAAATATATTTTTGGTTTTAAACTAATATATTTTTAACTAGATATCCGATTTTTAATTTAAAATAAAAAACAAAAAATAAAATGTAAAACGATTTTCGTTAATCAATTTAAATTTCCACAAAAAACTTAAATTTTTCTCATAATATAAAAACTCATTGATTTTTTAATATTTTATTTGATTCCAATTTTTTTAGCTAATTCTTGATTTATTTACCGGAAATATATATTAAGGAAGCACGTTCTAATAATTCTAACTAGTTTTGTTCTAAAATATGTCTGCATTTTTAGTTTGGCGTTTTTTTCTAACTTCAATTCTCCAGGTGGCAATCTTCAAATGCTATTCACAATAAATTAAACATATGATAAAAAAAATATTCTTATGACCATGATGAAATTAAACAAATATGTTGCGTTTTTTTTTTAATTTTGTTCCATGGTGGAAGATTTTAATGGCCCAAATATTGGCGACTAAAAATTGTTAATTATAAGACACTCTAAAAATCTAAACAATATGTATGTATGAGTCAACAAAAAGCTGGTGTGTGGGTTGGAGAGTAAAAAAACAAATTTAGATGAATAAAATGCAATAAATTTTTTGTCCAGTTACTGGCTGCAACAAACAAGTCTTTTCCGCATTTCTTTTCATTGACCTTGGCCTTCAATTCGAGTTTATAAGCAGGCTGGCAGCATTTAAAATTAATCTTGTGAATAACGTTGTTTTAATGTACGATACTTCTTTAGTGAAACTAAAGCCTCCACTTCTTTGGCCACATAGCGTCCCTGGGCGAGTAAAGCCTTTACTTTTTTGGGATCGGTTTCATCTTTGTTCTTTAGAAAGGCATCTCTGACTTGCTGCCGGAATTTCTGGGGTCCATTAACCCCAGGATATTCACGTCCCAAATATTGCAGCTGCAAACAAAATGGAAAAAAAGTCAATTTTATTAAGTAAATTTGGTAACAATCCGGTTTCGCAAGTCTCATGACTCATGCGAACGGAGACAACAGCAATAAGTTCCACTTTTTTTCATTAAACTTACATGTTTATATAGTTGTATAACTTTCGAGCGCAGCTCTGACATTACACGTATATATTCTTAAATATTAACACTGGCAATTGATAGAAATCTATTTATAATTTTCGTTTATTTTTTTTTTCTCGTTATATTAGGCAAAATAAATTGCGTATTTCGTTTCCTGAACACAAAATATAAGTATGTATTTTTCTTTTTTTTGCTTCTAAAATAAAACCAAAACAATAGTCGAAATGTCAAAAGGGTAAAGAAATCACAATAACATTTATACAATTCACAGTAACTAGAAATCTAATTAGAAAGTCTGGTAACTTGAAAAGCATTGAGCGCCATTTCCTTAGTTTATCGCGGAATTTGTAATTAGTTTCTTGTAGTGTTAATAATTTTATTAATATGACGGGTTTATTTAATTTATTGAGGAACTTAACTGTTGCAAAATGTCCCCCAAGAATTGCTTATGTAAAATATCCAGTTCGGGCGTTAATCATTTCGGTTTTAAGGCAGTTATATTAAAATAGTGTTATAGCCGTCATAGAGAAATAGTAGTTGTGATTTTATTTTATAAAATATAAAGTGAGTAAATAAAAATTGTAAGAAATAGGTATAAAATCAAAATATAGAAATTCCTTTAAATACATATTGCTATATTAGCCATCATAGTGAAGTGTAGTTGTGAATTAATTTTCTTAATTATTGAGTGAAAAAATTAATAAGTAAAAATTTTATGAAATATGAAATCATTACATAAAATTCTTTAAATAAATATCTCTATATTATAAAATGTGCTAAAAAAGCTAGTCATACCTATAAGAAAAAGTGTTTTTTATAATAAAATATTTAAAAATCTAACGCGGAATATTAATAAATTCATATACCTAAATTCGCTAAATATCTACCTATTACACCCTAAACTAACGTACGGACAGGAATGAACCACATCCATGTAAGTCTTGTAATTAAATAAATTTAAAATCTATAGTCTATAGCGTAGTAGAAAGTTTAGTTTATCGCTTAGTATAGTTCATAGACTAGTCTATGCCATGCGATAATTCTTACTATAGTTGATAGCGTCACCTGAAACGCAAACGGTCCTAATTAACCAAAAATCCAAAATCGATTTTATTGTTGATTCTAATATATTGCATCAAAATAAATGTCCACACCAAAAATTGGAGTCCTCCTACAAAAATTATCGATTTTATTAACAAAAAACAAAAGGCCCTATCTACAAAACCTTTAAATATTAAAGGTAAAAAGTCCAATTTATCCATTTTTATATACTCCATTGTCAACTATCATTAAAAATGATAGGTTTTCACAGTTTTTTGCTTCTGTAAAATTTTAAAAATGTTATGGCCGTTTGCGTTTTAGGTGACGATATATTCTAGTTGTTAATCTGGCCTGTTTATAGTCTATTGCCTGGCCTAATCTGTAATATTGTCTATATTGCAGATTGTAGACTATAATCAAGTCTTTATTATATACAAGACTATAATCTGGGTCTGATCTATACTCTTATCTATGATCTCCTTTAGTATACTCTTAAAGTTTCGTCTTTAATCAAACTGTGGTCTTGTCTTTAATGAGACTATAGTTTTGAATATTGTCTAGTCTATGTTTTAGATTATAGTCGATTCTATTGTTTGAATAGTCTAGACTCTAGAGACTTGATAGAGACTATGGTAGGATTTTTACTTGTAGAGTATCAAAAGTGCGTCTTTAATTTTATACAAATATTACTTTAAAATACAAACTTTTTATTTAAAAAAAATATATAAGTTTTATATATTTATTCGACTATTTTTTATCTTTATTTTATAACAATTTGCTATTTAAAAATACCGATTTAATTCCATTTTACATACATACAGTGTCTCTCATAAGTATTCGATTTTAGGTAAACTATGAAAAGAAACCAAATTTAATAATATATTTTGTGTGGAAAATAAATAAATTAATTTGTTATATTGTCTAGATAGTCCTTAGTTTTGATATCACGCCCCTTAAAATTTGAAAACTTTACATTTACTTAAATTATTTGTGCTTTTTTCAAAAAAAGTCCATGAAACTACTTCACAAAAGTATGCGAATTTTTCCCGTATTTCATATTTGATCATATTATACGATACACAAATTTTAGAATCGCATGGTTTTATGCTTAATATTGTTTTAAGGGGTTACTATCAACCGCATGGATATATTTTTGACCCATTTGGTCCACAATTTTGGGGGATTTGTACCCCCTTTTCATGTAATATCATTAAAATGGCGATTTTTGGCTATATTTGTATGTTTTCACCCTTTTTCCAGAGATAAAACCAAAATTTAATATTGGAATTTAATAGAACCCATAGGGTATCTAAAAATAATGTTTTTTTGTTATAAGGATCTGTACTTAAACGTTCCAAGATGTATTTTTTGGTATCGTTTTTCAGTTTCTAATTTAATTATCTGGATCATAAGTCCCTTTTCGTACCTCTAGGGACGATATTTTCCGACAAAGTTGTCTAGTGTATATTCATGTACATATTGGCACTAATGTATTTTAAATTTTCAATATATTATAGCGGTATACAACCCCAAAACATGCCTTAACAAAACGTCATCCTATATAGTAGATTTCAGTTTTTACTACTCGTAACTTTCACGCTTATGTATCCCGTTACAATAACACTGTAAGTCCTAAATTTTGGTTTTAATTTGATCATAGTAAATAATATTTAAATACATATCAACATTTTTGATGTGATCATAATGATATCGTGCCATGCAGCATGGAGGCCATTAGTATATAAAAATAATGATTTTACTATTTTGAATGGCGCTTCTTCGAGGCATGCTTTGGAGTTTTACACTTCCACAACACATTGAAAACTTAAAATGTATAAAAGCTGATAATTAAAAGAATATATACCAGAAAACTTTCCCCGAAAATAGTTGATCGTAGTATTATAAAAATGGACTTAAGTTCCAATATATTGAATTAGCGACAGAAAAATGATCCGAATAATTTATCTTGGAACGTTTAAATACAGATACTTGTAACAAAAAATATTATTTTTAGATACCCCAAGGAGTCTTTAGGGTCCCAATATCAAATTTTTGTTTTATATCTAGAAAAAAGGAGAAAAATTTGCAATTATGGCCAAAAATCGCCATTTTAATGATATTACATGAAAACAGGGTACAAATTCCCCAAAATTGTGGACCAAATGGGCCAAAAATATATCCTTTCCGTGGATAGTAACCCCTTAAAACAATATTACGCATAAAAACCATTTGATTCTAAAATTTGTGTTGCGTATAATATAATCAAATATGAAATACAGGAAAAATTCGTATACTTTTGTGAGGCAATTTCATGGACTTTTTTTAAAAAAGCACAATTAATTTAAGTCAATGCAAATTTTTCAAGTTTTAAAAAGCGTGATATCAAACATAAGGACTATCTAGACAATATAACAAATTAATTTATTTATTTTGCACACAAAATATATTATTAAATTTGGTTTCTTTTTATAGTTTACCCAAATTCGAATAATTATGAGAGACACTGTATGTACATATGCATATTAGGGTGGCCCCAAAATGGAAGTTGCTGATGGTCCCGCCGAAAATAAAAATTTTAAACCAGCTCACCAAATATAAACAGTATATTAAAATAAACTAAACTCTCAGTTTCGGTGGAACATCAGTATCTTATTTTTTCTTAAATAAACGGGGCCAAATAAAAAAAAATTCGAATTTGAATATTTAAGTTTTATTTATAACAGAGTTTATTGTTGTAGTTATATCAAATTACTTTTTGTCTATTTCTGTTTTTGGCCGGGAATGAAAGATTAATTATGAATACGACAGTTACTTCATCTAAACTACATCCTTGTACAAATATTTAATAACTTTTAGTAATTGCAATAATTTTACACTTTAAAACTCATTTTTTTTTCTTGTCATTAAAAAAGTCCTAGTTATTTTCAGTGTATTGCCATTATTTTAACATATTTATATTACGTCCCCTGCTGCAATGTCTTGTTTCTCTTCTTCATCTGATTCCTGTTCAAGTATCTGTTGAATAACTTCACTATGTTTAGATGAATCGACTTTGTGCAAAAGTGCATTTTTTAAATATTCTATATTGGCTTTAACTTCTACGATAGTGGCTTCCAATTCTTTGTTCTTTATACGTAAATTATTGACATTTTCTTTGCGTACTTGGGCAGTTTGTTTAGATTTTTCACGGGTTTTCTTTACGGCCTAAAATGGAATTTAAATAATTAATAAAATTAACAATAATTTTAATACTAATAAGGATTTATGTATGTATTTACGTCGTTGTTTCTTTTTCTTTTCAATTGATAGGCTTCTGTATCTTTATCAGTGTCATCGGATTGGGGACTTTGAAGACCACTAGCTTTTCTTCTGGCAGGCATGATTTTTACGTTATTGAATATTTAACTTTATTAAATGATATTCGTTAAGGGAAACTTGTTTTTAGTTTTTTTTTTATTTATAGAAATTTGTTTTTAAAATATTATTAACTTTTTTATTTTTGTTTTTAATTTCTACTTAAATCTCTGTAGTTCTTTGTGATGAAATTGTAAGAATTTGTAGTCAAAACAAAAAAGATTACGTCAAAACATAGATTGCAATGAAATCATTCATAATAATACTTTTGCTATTGTGATTGAAATAAATAGTAGGTACATAATAGTTGCAAAAAAAGTCGACTTTTCGACTCTTTAAAAGCCCTTTACACGATCACACTTTACACAAGTAAAATCTAATAAAAAAAAAAACTAAAATGAAATTCCATCTGTTTGACGAAAAAGAGAATAAAAGTCGCGTGATTTATATTTTTTGTATTTACACGATTGGTATAAAACAATAACAAAGTAAGATGGAAACAGCTGTTTCACTTTTTTGTATGTGTTTATATAAAAATCCCATCCCTGATCTAAAGTAGGGTTCTATAAATCGACTTTCGAATAATCGAACAATCGACTTTTTGTCGAAGAAAGTCGTAAAAAGTCGAAAAAAAGTCGAAAATTCGGAAAAAGTCGAAAATTCGGGAAAAGTCGAAAATTGTAGAAAAAAGTCAAAAATAGTCGAAAATTGTAAAATGTGGAAAAAAAGTCAAAAACTCTCAAATAGTCGGAAAAACTCGAAAAAAGTAAAAAATAGTCGAAAATAGTCAAAAGTCGAAAAGGTCGAAAAGTCGACTATTTATAAAATACGATTTGCTTGTTTTTGGAAACATTTAAACAAATTAAGGGACCCATACGACGTATTTTCTCCCAATGCGTAATGGTTTCATTATATATTGCGTTTAGACGATCCCATCTGTTCTCTTCTACACAAAATTTTGACAGATCACATAACTTGTGTGCTTGTGTAAAGGGGGCTTTATTTTTTATTGATTAATAATAGTCTACTGGGTCTATAGAACCCAGAGATGGGACGAAATATCGATTTATAAATATCGGTTAAAAAAGGCAATTTTTTAAACAAATTTCTCTAGCATATGCATTTGTCAATGGGAATTAAGTTCAGAATTATGTCGAATGCTGCTTGTGGCGTGCTTCCCATGGCACTTGTGATGCCTAATAAAGCACAACGTTGGACTTTATTAAGTATCATTCTGTAACTACTTTTCCTCATAACTACCTACCACGTCGTGCCGTAATAGACCTTACTACGACAAGTAAATCCAGTTTACTATACTAGGTCGTAAGTCCCAAGTCTTATAGATGAAGTTCCCACATGTGTGATAGGCATTGAGTCCCTTTTTTAGCATTTCCTGTAAATGTTTGTTCTCTGACAATTTGCTGTTAAGGAAGGTACTTAAATACTTGACCCCTTCAACGCCGTTCAACTTCGGCAAATTAAAACTCCTGGCCAAGATATACACCTGGCCAAGATATACACTTTGTGTTCTAGGACGTGCTCAAAACAACCTACCACCTCAACCGTCTTACCCTTAAGATCAGCATGTTGAGCATTGCTAATGAGATGGGTATCAATACTGTTCATAGGATGAAGAATTATCAATCGCTGATAGGTCTAAAATTCTTCGGTTTAGAGTGTCTTGCATTACCAACCTTGGGAATGAAAATTACCTTAACCTCTCTCTCCATTCTCTAGGAAGATATCTCTTAAAAATATTGGCTAAAAGGATCAATGCGTCATCAGGAATATTACATAGCATGGCCGGAAAAACACTATCCGGACCTGGCGATTTGTAAGGGTCAAAAGTGTTCACCACTCAGCTAAGTTAATCCCTGGTGACTACTTATTTCCTCAATGGGGTCTACCTCTCTAGCACTTACCCTAAACATTTACTTACCTCTAATTTTAACTTCCGAAATACAAAATTTGTTTGTCAGAGTGTATGTTTTTTTCAGAAATATTTAGTTTCAAACATATTTTTATTTTAACTTATATAAATTTTGTATTTCATTTAACTACAGATGTCTGTTGGTTTCTTCTTCATCATCATCTTGTTTTTGTTGTTATTATTATTATTTTTAAGTTCTCATATAATTTATATTTTTGTTAAATTTATTTTTAAATCATTTTACTTAAATTCATTTGTTTTTTAATTATTTCTTTAATCATTTAAATAAAATGTTTGTTGTTCTTTTTTTTTGCTGTTGAATACAATTTAATAATTATATTTTACTTTAATCAATTTATTTAGTTTTCTTAATTTGTTTTTTATATTTAAGAAATATGAATAATATATTTTTTTCGGTTTATTTTTTTTAACATTTAACAGTTTTTCGTTCTTGTTTTTTTTTGTTGCATTTTTTATTCAATTAATAATAAATAATTTTTTTTTTAATATAATGAATATATACGGGGGGGGGACTTGGTTTTTATTTATACTTAAAAAATATATTTGTAAAATTTATACAAAGAACAACAAAAAAATCATTATTAAGTTATTTTTTGTTTTTACTTTTTAAATATTTATTTTAATAATCTCAAAAAGGTAGTTTTCATTTAGGAAAAAATGGGGGGAGAGAGGGGAAAGGCCTGTAAAATTTAAGTAAATTTAATAATATTACAGATTTTACAAACTGTTGATTAATTTTATAAAAGTTTTTGTTGTTTGGGGGAACCTATAGAAATATTTATATCAACAAAACTAATAACAATATAATTAATTAAACCAACCAACATGAATGTTTTTGTATTAATTTAAAACTAAATTCTGTTTTCTTTTTGAAATGTTATTGAGTGAAATGTTATTGAGTTTTCCCTTATAGGCTTCGCTTAGGTTGGTTTGTCTAAAGCCTAGAGAAGAGTTTTTATGTTTTATCGTTAATATTATTATTATTTTTGAAACTTGGTGCAATTCTATTTTATTTAACTTATTTTAGGACATGTTTTCTTTTTTTTTTCTTACTTTTCTTCATACTATGTGGTGCTGATGATTATGTATAAATGATTTCTTCATACGAGATTATACGACAAGTATTATTATTGTAGTTTTATTTGATTAATTTAGTTTTGTAAAAAGGGAATTGTATAATTTTTGTTTTTTTTTTTTTGTTATTTATTTAGTATATGGTGAATATATTTTTGTTGTTGTTGTTACTTTTCCAATAAATCCATGCATATTGTTGTCGTTATTATCGTTCTTTTACTATAAATCTAAACCATATAAAACACTTACAATACAATAAATTTTCTATGTCGTACAGAGTTGTTGTGCAGTTGTGCTATATAATTTTGCTATATATTTTTTTGTTATTATTAAGGCCTGAAATCTATTTACATACAAATAATTTATTTCACAATTGAGCTCTATTCTGAAATTAAGAATAGCAAGTAGATTGTAAGTTTGCAACTAGCAGTTTACATTAGTTTTTATAATTTACGTTTTTGAATGTCCTGCTATAAATTTAGTTTGAAAGGAGCAAGTATGCTACATTAGATCCTAAGAAATACACCTAGGCTACTATCGTATCTATTGTGTTGCCTTTTAGCAGAGTCGCTGGTGGTAATAGAACCCACACTACCAACTAACTTACGGAGATATTTACGAAAAGCAAATCCCATATTTTTAGTAATTAAATATGTTTATGAAACTGGTTTTTATATTAAAAGATGCAAGTCAGAAAGACCACTTTTGAATCTAGAATAGCTTTAAACATATGATGCAATTGATCAACATTTACTTGAAAAATCGAATGTTACTAAAACCTCAAAGACAGTAAAATCGGATTACGGGGATAGATTTGATGTTAATTTCATTATGATGAAAAATTTCTATTAGATTCTAACTTATCAGAGATCGGAGCATTCGTCCAAAGTGAGTGCTCCGAATGGTCGCCACGTAATACTGATTAAAGCAAAAATCCAAACATTAAGGAGCAACTAATAGTCCAGTTCTTTATAGATCAGCTAAGTCTTAATGATCTCGAGTTTTTTGGAATTACTGAACATGACAGTATGATCTACTGATCAATACAGTATGTTCTACTGATCAATACAGTATGATCTACTGATCAATACAGTATGATCTACTGATCAATACAGTATGATCTACTGATCAATACAGTATGATCTACTGATCAATACAGTATGATCTACTGATCAATGCAGTATGATCTACTAATGAATACAGTATGATCTACTGATCAATACAGTATGATCTACTGATCAATACAGCATGATCTACTGATCAATACAGCATGATCTACTGATCAATACAATATGATCTACTGATCATTAGAGATGAGAGATGCGAAATTCGATCTTTTTGTTTAAAATCTTGATTACTTTATCAATAAACATAAACATTTTAAACCTTAATATGATCGAGTACGTGCCAAATGACATAATCTGAATCCATTAGTAAACAGTAGGGTCCTACAAATACTATGTAGATATTTTACAAATTGAATAGGTACCTACGATACAAAAACGATCGCCTGCTACATCTAAATGTTGCATAGATCTTAACTAATCAGAGATCGGAGCACTCATCCAAAAACTAAATGCTTTTGTTTCGTAAATGATACTTCAAAAGATCACTACGAAATATTGCTTAAAGCAAAACTTCCAAAGATCAAGCAGTAATTGGCAGTCCAGTTCGATATAGATCAGCAAAATTTTAATGATCTGGAGTTTTTTTTTTGAAATGAAATTACTGTACAGTACGATGTTTTGATCAATATGAGTAAAATGAGTCAAAGGCCTTAATCTACAGAAATATTATAAATAGTAGAACACAATGACTTAATAGATGCGAAATTCGATCTTTTTGTTTAAGATCTTGTTTACTTTTTCAATAAACTTTAAAGTTTTCAACCTTAATAGGATCGAGTACTTGCTTGCTTAGTTACATTTCTATCAAATGACAAAATCTGAATCCATTAGTAAACAGACCCTACAAATATTTTAGAAATTAAATACATACGATACAAAAACGATCGCGTGTTACGTCTAAATGTGGCATAGATCTTAAACAACAGTCGATTGCATTGGAATTATAAGCAAGCGATCTTTGATATATGACATCAAAATTCAAAAATTAAGTAGCAACTTATAGTCCAATTCCTTATAGAGCAGCTAAGTCTTAATGATCTCATGTTTTTTTCTTTGGAAATAT